GTGCCCCCCCCCCCCCCCCCCTCCCCCCCTCCCTCCGGACGACAATATTGAACAGGCCTTGCGTCAGCAACTTCTCGGAAGGGTCCCAGCAGATTGAATCCGAGTTCAGACTCCTGTCCGTTCCGTTTTCACCACAGGCAGGCGTGGCGACACGGGGGGGGATTCCATCGATACTTTCTAGGCCCAGGCCCATTCTGCTAGCAGAAAAAAGAGCAGATTTGGCCTTAAGGAGCATATGCTTAAGCAGATCCAATTTCAACATCTGCTTGAGCAGAACACGCGATGTTCGAGCAGAACCACCTGCTCCCGGAGCAGAACCACATACTGCTGGCGCATATCAATCGTAAAACAAGCACGAGTGTCCATTTTGCTGGCATATCCGGCTGCAAGGCGTGCCAGAGGCTGCTGGAAGACGGACATAATTGGACTTGAGTCCAATACAAGCACCTGGGCATCTNTAAGAGCACCTGGGGATGTCACCGTTGCAGTGTACCTTGTGTCACAATGGTATGTTTTATCTTAGTTGTTGCATACTAACATACTAGCATTGTAGGTCCACTAAGTGAATATTTGCGGCCAAGATTTTGAAAAAAGTCTGCCCAGCTGCCCAGCAGTCGCTACATCGCTGCACTCTGCACACCGCGCACCGCACCACACCACACCACGTCACTACGGTTCGACGGTCTGGCGCCGCAGCTGCCGACCCCGATCCCTATCATGTCGAGTATCGACGTATGCGCTAGCTCTGGAGACGACGACAGCAGCAGCAGTGATTTGTCTGACTTGGAGTTTTCGCTCCGTCGTGCGTGCATGGACGAGCGGCAGGAGAGCTCGTTCAGCGACCGTATTGCGACATCCGCCCTTCTTTAGTACAACAGGCGCAGCGAGTAGGGTGGAGATACTTTCGTGCTACTTTCCGATAAGTTGGTCTTGCGCTCTTTTTTTTTTCTGCCGGCGGAACACCGCNGATGGAGGTCACACAAGCGCCGGAGTTCCTCCCACGGATGTATAGTCGCACCACGCCGCTCTGTTATTTTTCTGCTGGTGGAACACCGCTCTCGGGGATGTTTCGCCTTTGGCCTTTCTTTGTCATGGTGTGGCGGTTTTGGTTGGCAGCGGGCAACCACTCGTATCGGGTACTGGTCGGGGTGGGGGCGGGGGCGGTTATCATGCGATGACTCGAAGAGTATGATCTTATAAATTTCAGCAACCTGTTGAACCCTGGAGTGAGTGAAAAAAGCCGAACAAATCACTGCCTGACATGAACGCGGTGGAAGGAATGAATGAGTGATCCTTCGACATCCTTTCTGTAGAAAGAGCATTTAATACGGCATGAGACGAGGAGCAACTTGAGCCCAAGAAAGCGCAAAACACGCTGAGTGAGGCACTACTAGCATTGAAAGAGCCACAACATGATGCATTGTGCGTAGGTTGGTGACGGCATAATAACCACCCTGAACAGCAAACTAGTAGAACAAGAGAGCATAACTGGCCGAAACAAACATATGAANTGCAAATTACGAGCATATGTGAGGGCATAACGGACGAAAATGAGCAGAACCAANGTAATACGGCATGAGACGAGGAGCAACCTGAGCCCAAAAAAACGCAAAACACGCTAAGTGAGGCACTACTAGCACTGAAAGAGCCAAAACATGATGCATTGTGCATAGGTTCGTGACGGCATAATAACCACCCTGAACAGTAAACTAGTAGTCGAGAACAAGAGAGCATAACTGGCCGAAACAAACATGTGTCTGTGAGGGCAGATCCACCCACAAGGAGCAGAACACGAGCAGATCCACCCGAAAGGAGCAGAACACGAGCAGAATTGGTGCAAATTACGAGCATATGTGAGGGCATAACGGACGAAAATGAGCAGAACCAACGAGCAGATTGGACTTTTAATGCAAATGCTTGCCGAAAAAAAGGAGCAGAAAAAACAGAAAAGAGCAGAATGGGCCTGGGCCTACTACTTTCCGCCGTTGCTCCCACACCACGAACGGTCGCTTCCCGGAAGATGAGCTCCCCCGGTGATGATGCGCCATCTATGATGCTTTTCATTGCCAGCTAGAAATTATACTCAGTCCAGCTGAGGGACGAGGGTGCCGTGAGTGACCATACCTCGAGGGATGAAGACTGGTCAGGCTTATGAACAGCAGCCATGTTTTATGAATGATTGCAAACTTGGAGCTCTTACCGTTGGCCAGAACGGGGCTGCGCTACGACGTGTTTAGTCCTCGTGGGCTGGAGAAGGTAGGCAGACAGCGTGCGTGCCCAGTCATATTCCGATCGCTGAGTTCACCTTACGGGGCTCACAGGAAGATCCCGAGCAGCCATCCAAGTGCGGGCTGCTTTCGTCCGTCAATCTAGTGAAAGGGGAGAGGAGCCGCCAAAGCGTCTCCGTCGTGCGTGATCGATGTTTTCGTATTACTTTTCGGCGTTGAGGTGTTCTTGGCTCTCAATACAAACCCTAACACGCGCCGAACAAAATAGGGCAAGCAAGGCACTTGACAAGCGGCCGGGGTTGGTTGTGGCGTCGTTGCCGCGCTAGCGCCCTTGTCCTTGACGCTATGGCCAAATGACGTAAGGCAAGCAAAAATGAAGAACGGGCCCTGCCGACATTGAAGACGAAAGGGCCCTCGGTACTACTACTGCCGCTGTGCAATGTGGCACGCTCCTCTCGCCACCTCTCGGTTCTAATATCTTGGGGGCATCGATCGCGCGTATCCAAGGTGGGGTGTTCTTTTTTAATCGGTAGGTTGGCCAGTCTAGCAGTGTTCTTGCTTGACCAGTTTCATACCTTTCGCGAAATGTGAGCCCGCTTTCATTTTTGTAAATTTGTCGCGGTCAACTCTGTAGACAATGAGTGATGGACATCCTTTGCACCGGAGATACCGAGGGAACATCAGTCACACCTTCAACGGATAACGTTTCGGAACGATATCCTCTTTGACGTCAAGACTTAGCTCGGTTCTAAGCGATGGAAATCGATTCACTTAAATCCAATCGATATCGATATCGCCCACGAAGCGTTCGATAATCAATCGATGTTTTCGATGTTGTCGAGCGAAGCGAGCCGTCAGTTGTGAGCGAAGCAAGCCGCTAGTGGCTAGCGTAGCGAGCTGCAAGCACGGCGAGCTGACACGCCTGTGTACGAGCCCCAACTGCCCCTCCGCCGGCCGGTGAGGGGGCCCTACCGGAGGCGCCGCTGAGGCATTTTTTTTTGGGCAATCTGGCTTTCATTTCCCATCACAATTTCCGAAAAGTAGGTCTCCGAAGCCGGCGGCAGTGTACAGCAGGTACAGTCAACTTATTCGAGAAAATGCATGTCGGTGAGCATATGAAATCGCAAAATGCAGCAAAAGCATGGTCATGTTGGTCCTCTTCCTCTGCTTGGCTGCCGTGAGCTTCTGTAGGTGCTGGTCTTGAGAAGACACACTCTTAGACTTGTAGTGGGCTTCAAGGTTCGAGGTGTTGCCTGCCGTGAAGGTAGCCCCGTGATGGCAAACGCTACACACTGACTGGACGATCCTTTGGGTCTACAAGAAATAGATTCGTCTACAGAAAAGACCATCCTCACGATGGAGGCTTAGGCTTGCAGGTTTTGATGCCGACGATGTTCCACATTCTTTCACATCATCAGCAGCTGCGGCAGACGCAACCGCCCCCCCGGACATGAGCTCATGCAGTCGCCGAATTTCAACTTTGAAGTGTGGTGCGTGGTGCGTGTAGACGTGATGCTGAAAGCTGTCGACCTGTGCGCTGCTGTCTGTGTGTGTTTTGCAGCGGCGGGGGTTCTGTCAGGGATATGCATTTTGAGTCACACATTTAGCATTTCATTTTGTAGCCGATTGCAGCAACACAACAAGACGTGTTCTGTCTGTGTGATGCGTAATGTATGCGCAATACACTTTCGTGTGTTCTACACATGTAAATTAGGGATGATAGGTTGAGAGTTGAGGACACTTGTCCTAGGTACACAGCAGTGGTAGAGCCTTGAGTGTAGAAGTCGAGCAGGGAGACTCCGACTACATCAGAGAGACTGTCGGAAATATTTGCGGTGAAACTTTTGGGTTTGGCCGAACAGAACGCCACACGGAGTATTGTAGATCTCGGGAGAACACTCTGTTGAATCGGTTTGTATGATATACATTTTTTTCGAGATGAGACACACAAGCACGCTCTGATCCTTGTGTTCACTCCACTAAAGCACCATCGAAACCTGTCGCGGGAGTCAGTCAGTAATCAGACATCTTTCTTTGCTCAATCGTTCGGAGTTCCGAGGCACACACCAAGTTGCACCCGCACTCGAAGCCTCTGTGTAGGCTGCTGTACAATACCAGCCTACGAAGCGACCTCGGCACACAGCACACACCCACTGCTGCTGCTGCTGAGTATCAGGAGCTCCTAGAACGCCACAACCAGAGCAGGCGAGAGAGTGGGGTGGGTGTGGAGACACACGGCACGAAATACACGCAACAGTGATGAATACTACGGTTGTCCGTGAAAAAATGACGGGGTCTCCATGATTTTTTTTCGTACGTTAGGTTTAGTCCATTGAAATGAGGCCGGCACGACAGATCCCGCGACTTGCCGTCAGAAAGCCCGAGAACCCCAGACAAAGGAGGAGCTACTGATCATTTCCTTCGGCTTCCAGTCACCATACGTTCCTACAGCACAAGCTACATTCCTCACTTACTTGTTCTCCTACAACCTGTTGTTGGAGTATACCAGCGCGCCCGCAGTTAGGAAAAATTCTGTGAAGAAAAATTGGCTCAAATTATTAAGCACAACAAGAAAAAGGGCTAAGAAACACAGCTCAATCTCGGCCACAATACAAGAAACATCCTAATAACAATCATGATGGTGCGATACCCCTAAGATGTAAGAAACAAGGGGTAGCTGGAGGAGGAGGTTGCCCAATAAGAAACGTCCCACTGCTGCTCCTTCCGTGTTCCCACCCCCCTACTACCTAGCCCCTAAGTTGACAGTGCATTTTTTTGGTAGGGGGAGAGAGGGTGGTTATGTCGCACACCAATGGCCACACGGAGCTTCCTTTCTGGTTAAGCGGCATGATGGTCATTTGTTGTTGTGTTGTATTATTTAGCAAATCGAGAATATTCGAAATAACAGTATTGGGACGTTCTAAAGGAATATGAATTGCCTTATTAGAAAACGGACGACTTCGGCTGGTCCGTGGACCCAAAATAAGGGATTGAGGTTCGACCCGAATATGACGTTTCTTATGTGCGGGCCCGCACTGCAAAAAATGCGAAAATGCCAGAAAAAATGAAGAAACAATCTGGCAGCACCACCAGGCAGGCGGCTCATGCCCGTCACGGGCTACAACCCGCGAATGCGTTGACGGCAGTGCGTTGCACGCTACGAACTGTCTTCGGGGTGCCCCCAGTTGGCGCGGCATCAGCACCACCAGCGGAGTCGTGGTAGAACCACCGGGAGAAGGAGATGGGCGCGTGGCGACCACCTCACTCTGGAAGAGGCTGGTCGCCATCGTCGGGGGGGGACTCCATCAGAGATGGGCGGAGTTGTGCACGGAGCGTATCGCAGTGGCGTTGTGTGTGTGGCAGGGTGGGTGTGGTGTGGGAACACGGTGTTGCGTGTGTGTGTGCTGATAAAAAAAAAAAAAAGATCAATGTTCAATGTTCCTGGTGTGTGTGTCTGCACGACGAAACCGTGCCTTACCTGCGTTTTTTACCGTGGTCTACTGGGGTTTTCACCGCGGTGTACTGCGGTTGTGGCTGCGGGGTGGGGCAAACCGCACCGTAATATAACCGCAACTACGGTTATTTGTGAATCCTTACGGTGCGGTGCGGTGCGGTGCGGTGTGTTCATCTCGATATTTGACGGTGCGGTGCGGCGCGGTTTTATCATATCACGGTGCGGTGCGGTGCGGTTTTGTGCATCTCGATAATTGACGGTGCGGTGCGGTGCGGTTAAACCGCACCGCACCGCACCGCACCGCACCGTCGAGAAATACCGCGCCGTGAAAATCCCTGTAATGTTTAATTTTTCTTCAAGAAACAATATTTCTCGGAGTGGCTAAGAGCCACCTGGTGTCAAGAACGAAGGTTCTCATTCGTGTTTGTACCTCTCGCGCCCCTGTCGCCTCCACCCCTCCTACCAGGCTCAAGTTGCCGATTGTTTGGCTCTGATTCCACCGAAATTCCTTGTCCCCTTATGTCCAGCTAATTAATACCCCCAACCGGGCGATACTGTGAGGTGCAGGAGTACGCCGAAGAAATGACCTCTGGCACTAACTGCGGCACAATGGTGCATAGCACCTCAAGTTACGGAGAGATCCTCTACCTGTGCTGGGCAACCGCCGTCGGCTGCTACACGGCCAAGAGCGCCGGCGTTCGCTGGGGTGAGTGCTCGGCACCTTGTTGTCTTCCGTTCGCCCTTTGTGGCACAGTTTGTGCGCTCAATTCAACGTCGTTCACGATTGCCACACTCAAGTCTTACGATCACCCGGGCGTCCCTCCCACCAAGTAGATTACGTTCTCTACTGTGGATGGTTTTTAAAAGTAGGGCAGCGCATGGCTTCTACTTAAAATATACCTTTGTGGTAGCACGGGCTGCATTCAGCACATTGCGTAACGCCTAACAATATGGTGATTCATTGCGCCGCGACAAATGAATAATGTCTTGTCTTATCTTCCGCCGGCTTTGGGTGCATATGTAACCGAGCCGAGGCTGTACCCGCTCTATCGGAGCCCTCGACTGCCTCACGTGGCTGTTACGTTTCCTCCCTCGTAGTGGTGGTTCTTTCTATTTCCTCAATTTCACTGACTTCCCGCACTACTGGTGTGGATAAATACGTTTGTCTGTGTATCTTATTGTCATCGTTTTCTTTTTGCGCATTCTTTGGCGAAGTTGTCTGACCCTTGGCTGTTTTCCCGCAGTGTCTAGCCGTACGATTCGTCAGTCTATGGATTCACACGTATGTTCAGACAGTGACGAGGGCAAATGGGCCCCCTAACCTGCGCTGCTGCTGCCGCCATCAATGAATTCATACGTGGTCTCTGCCGAACGGCCGAATGAATGCTCAGACGACGATGAAGTCACACAGGGAGACCGGACCGCCTACGAGGGGCACGCGACCGGCATGCTGTGGACCGAAACCACTCAGCTCGGCTGCGCCGTGGCGTCCTGCCAGAAGAGCGGCTGGTCTTACGACTTCCTCACCTGCAGCTTCAACCCGCCGTGAGTCCTTAATTCACATTGTCTTGTTACGAGCTCCAGAGTACGCCTTCCAGAAAGCACGCCTCTTCGCCCTCGGTCGTACTTATCACACATGAGAGTCATAACCTCTCGCT